TAGGAATAATACGAGAAAAAGAGGCTTTATTATAAGTACCCGAATAGTTTCGCGACTTCGTTCTTATTATAACTAAGGAAGCGGGGCAACGGTTTCCCGACCGGTAACTATAGGACCATGCTATCGAGCTCCGTTTAGGGACTACCCCCCTATAGGGACCCTTATACGCTATAAATAAACGATAACTAAAAGCCTTAAAGCCTTAATTAAACGAAATAATAACTATAGGAAGAATCTGGAAATCTAAAGTACTATACGGAGTATTTATAATATTCGTAAATAAAAAGAACCCTAACGCGTTAAGACCGGTAGCCGATTATTAGGGGTAAAATAAAATTATAATACCCGTTCGATACCTTATCTTATTAATTAATGTAGTAGTGCGGTGGATCTAGGCTACGTAGCCTTTTCGATATATATTTATATGGGTCGCGCACTTATATTTTCATCAGCTAGACTTAGACATATAGATATTACGACCTATAGCCATTTACTCGTTTCTTGCCATACCTTTCTAGCCATCCTCCTTTATCCGTTTCTAGTCTTCCTTTCCCAGCTACCGTTTTTAGCTGGCCGATTAACCGATTATAGCTATTTATAGCTATAATCTTAGGTTAATCGGCACTAGGCCAGTTATTAGCAGTTAGGTAGCCCTTTTCGTGCCTCCGTCAGCGTACCCACGCTACTCCTATTCAATAGCGACCACCTAGTAGCCCGAGCCGCAACCTCACAATCTTAAGAGCGACCTTTTACGCCCGTTTTTATAGTCATTAGGTTCAGGATTCGTCGATTAAGAGATTCCTTATTTTTTAATTAATTAGGAGCTATTTTCGTAGCTCCAGAGCCGTTTTTCGTAGCTTTCGGATTAAGCCTTTTTTAGGTTAGGATTAACGGGAGGGCAGATAACCATAGCGACCATTAATAACCACGCCCTCCTATTAGCTTTTAATTAGCTTACTTAAAAGCTCGTTCGCCGATCAATAGGAATCCCTGTTCTCGTTTCTCAGTTATCTCTTTTAAAGGAGCTATACCCGTTTTACCTGGTTTTACCTCCATCGTTTTTTACCAGTACCTAGATGGCAGTTTTCTCGCCCTTAGTTAATCTAACTAAGTTACCGCTACCACCCCTTTTTATAACCTCGTACGCGTTTAAAGGCATCCGTTCTTTACCGATCGATTTATTTTAATTACAAGAGGCTTACCGATAATTCCGATTACCCTTATTTTATCCCTACTAACTAGTTACGGCACCTAAGGAGGTTTCTCCTCAACCGATAGGTACTACGATGCCTTTAATTACCACACGAAGATACCGATAGACCTTATACCTACGCCACAAGCCTAATCGGAGACGTACCGATCAGGATTAAAGACCTATACAGACGATACCGCGATACGAAATAAATAAGATATTAAATAAGATAGCCCAGAAACAGCCATAGGAATAGTAACGCCTAAAGACCCTTTTTATCGCCTTTACCGATATATAGTTAATAGGAAGAGCCAGAGCCCCTAGAACCACGTATAAGGAAGGGATCGAGGGTCAAGGAAAGCCCGGTAGATACTGCCGGACGAATATAAGAACGGTTACACGAGAACAGCTAAAAACGAGTTATAGAAACGGGCATTAAACAGGATATATTAATTAGTTTATAGGATTAGGAATTAGTTGAAAAGGATCAGTAAAAAATAGCCATGGACGAGAAGGACGGGATTACGTTGCATTAGATTTTTCATGGGATTATTTCTTCGTTTCTCACGGGAGCTACGCTTGTTTTACCTGCCCGTTATAGTTCCTATTTCCTGACTATTAATCCCTATTATTTCTTAGTGGCCTTTAATGGAACTAGCTTACTTCCAGTTAATCAGGGTTGATTAGGAATAGGTTGATTAGGTTAGTTTATAGGTTTATAGCTCCGCTAGCCCAGTTATTCTTGTTATTAGATCTTTCCTATTGTTTCCTATTAATCGTTAATTAAACTAGCTTAGCTCCTAGTTAGCAACGATTGAATAGGTTCGGGATTAATTAGGAATTAGGTTCAGGATCAGGCACGGCTGCAGTTAGTCACCTACTCTACTACCCACTTATTGCTGTTGCAATTATCTCCCGTTGTTTTAGGATTAACTAGAGACCTACCTAACTTATCCTGTTGGCCTTTAATTAAACTAGCTAGCTTTTAGTTGATCAGGGTTAATCGGGATTAGGTTAATTAGTGATTAATTAGGTTTAGTAGGAAACGAGAGCTACCGTACCTATTATTAGGAGTTTAATTACTCCTTACGGATTAATTAAACTAGGGAGGCTATAGTAGTGCGGTAGATCTAGGCCACGTAGCCTTTTCGATGTATATTTATATGGGTCGCGTACTTATATTTTCATTAGCCAGACTTAGACATGTAGATATCACGACCTATAGCTATTTACTCGTTTCTTGCCATGCCTTTCTAGCCATCCTCCTTTACCCATTTCTAGTCTCCTTTCCTAGCTGCCGTTTTCAGCTGGCCGATCAACCGATTACAGCTGTTTACAGCTGTGATCTTGGTTGATCGGCACTGGGCCAGTTGTTGGCAGTTGGGCAGTCCTTGTTTCGTGCCTCCGTCAGCGTGCCTACGCTGCTCCTGTTCAGTAGCCTTTTTCTTAAGACGACTTACCCTAGCGGAAATAAATTATAAAATATATAACAAGGAACTACTAGTAATTATCGACGTATTTAAAAAGTAGCGATATTATCTCGAAGGCGCTTAGTATTAAATAAAAGTATACTTAAATTATTAGAATTTAACGTACTTTACTATAGTAAAGGTAATAAACCGACGATAAGCCCGCTAAGCTTAGTAGCTCTCCTCGTATTACTTTATGATATATTATTACCTAGGAAGGTAAAATAAAAAGGCCGATATTTTATTTAGATTATTATGATATCGCCCTAAAAAAGAAGGAGCTAAGGATTAACCGATAGCGACGATCCTATAAGAAAAGCATTTTTTAAAAAATCTAGGCTTATTAGTAGTAATATTCTTTAATACTAGGCTAGGTAATATTCCGATACCTACCTAGACCTAAGAGTTCGTTAAATAAGTTAAAAACGCGGCTAAATAAGACTCGGAATATTAAAGCTAACTAATAAAATAACTCGGTAAAGAGGTAAAACTTTAAGACGGCTTCTTCTACCGACGGAACCGTTTATAGGTACTAAAGGACCTATAATAAGAAGTAGTTAAATCGGAATACGATATTAAAGTAACGGGATATATAGGTATAAATAAAACCATAGAGCTTATTACCCGTAACTTCTAGTAGCTTAACCTAGAAGTAATAATTAAGGAATTCGTAAGGGGATATTACGAATATTAATAGAATAAGGTATCCCGATATACCCCGTTCGGATTACTATAGCTTATAAAACTATACTACCGGCCGTAGTAAATAATCGTAATAAATTTTATTATAAACTTATTAATATCTAACGGCTACGACTTTATATAGGTTATTATAAACCCTTTTATTAAAATAGCGTACTTTATCCCGCTAAAAAAGGACGGTAAAAAAGCCGAAGACTTAATACCTATTTTTATCCGTAACTACTAGCGGTTATATAGGATCCCCTTAAATATTATCTCCGACCGGGACTTACGGTTTACTTCCTATATTTAAAAGGATATTCTAAAGCTCCTAGGAGTTAAGCCTAGAATAAATACTACTTTTTATCCCTAGACGGATAAATAAACGGAAAGACTTAACTAAATCCTAAAAGTATACCTACGCGTTTTCGTAAATTACGAAATAAACGACTAGGAAAGCTTATTCCTTATTACCGAATTTACTTATAATAATATTACTTCGATAGCTACCGGTATATTATCCTTCTACGTTAATTACGGATAATACTTAGTAATATATAATCCTTTATTAGGTATTCCTAAGAATCTAGGAAGTAGCCTCTATACTTACTAAATAACTAAGGTATATAATAAGGCTAAATAATAATTAGAAAAAGTACGGTAACGGATAAAAGGATAGGTAGATAAGTATAAAAAGGAGGAACCCCTTTTAAAAGTAAGGTAACTTATTATGATAAATACCCGTAACATTAAAACTAAGCGCTTCGTTAAAAAAATAGATAAGAAAATGCTCGGCTCCTTTAAAATCTAGAAGGTCGTTTCGCTTATAGCCGTAACTTTAATACTCCTAAAAGGCTAACGTATTTATAGTACTTTCTACGTATCCCTTATCGAATCTTATCGCGCTAATAATTAGGAACTACCTAACCTTAATTAGGTCTTACGGAAGGTAGCCCCGATTAAGATAGAAGATTACGAGGTAAATAAGGTATTAGATTCCGCTAGAACCGGAGAAGTCGTTAGGTACTTAATAAAATAAGAAGGCTAGCCGATTAAGCGTTATTAAACTTAGGAACCGTAGGAATACTTTACTACCGAAGGAACGAGAGAAGTTATTAAGTTATTTTATTAATAAAATCCTAATAAGTTTATTAACTAACGAGCCTAGGTACTTAACCCGCGCTTAGAAACGAGCTTTTCCGAAGAGAAGGGATGGTATTATACGGAAATGAAACCCTATATTAATAATTAGGTTATAAGGATTAGGAGGATAATATTAGGTAGCAAAGCCGTTACCTTAGCGACTTACTAAGGAAAGTCCTAAATAAGCTACGGATAGCTTCGGTAATAGGATATAAAGGTACTAAGGTACGGAGATACCTCCGGAATATATTAAGACGAGATAGGGACTAGGAAACCTAGGAAGAGATAAGGACCTAAGAGACCCCCTATAGAATTATTAATTAAATTGAACCTATTCTAAGCATATCCCCTTGTTATAGGCTTAATAAGTAGATACAAAGTCCCGATAATTTTAAATTATATTACGTTAGTAGAACCGTAGGGAGATGTATAGCCCAGGAAGCTGACTACAAGATCTTTCACCATAAATAGGGCGAGCTTAGCATTACTCTGATTGCCATTTTGCCTGTAAGGGAGCCGCGATTCCGTTTAATCCGAGAGTATGTAGCTATTTTATAAATTAGATTAGTCTCTAGTAATTTTGCAAACGTTTCGTACTCGTCTGCTGTGACCGTCCTAGCAGACCTCCATGGCTCATCGTATCAAAAATTCCTGCGTCTTCTCGACGTACTGAGAGAGGCCCATTGCTTCCCCGTCCATCAGGTTATACACAAAGCACTCGCCGACCAGGGTCCAGCAGTCTTCTCCCCGTCGTAGAACAACTGGGACACTGCAGCCATGCAGTATACAAACTTGGTCGTTGAGCCTTGTCTCTGAGGGGCCAAGGCCTAGAAGTGGCCTGCCCTCGTGATCTTCAATCACAAACAACGTTCTGTTCCAAATCACAGACCTGACTCTCTGAATGTACTCCAATGCCATCGACGGGTGAGACCCGTCACGAATCATCTCACTAGTAATATCTCCTCCGTCGCTGGAGTCCAGCCAGTATCGGCATGCCTGGTTGTACCACAACGGTGCTGGAGTTCCACCCGGGCCGCGGTCCGCCACGAGTGTCCTCCAGAGGCTGTCTGGGACTAAATAGTCGCCCTCTTGCCAGCCACACATGTCAATCCACTCTTTTTGTATTATCCCACCGGTAGCACGGAACCCAACTTCCAGAACAGAGTTGATGACGAAGCCGCTTACGGTGACGGAACCGTCTAATTCCAAGTCACCGGTTGGAGACGGCCGGCCAAATACCGGGACAGCGTTGGATCCTTTCGAGGCATCGTATAGTGGCCTGTGGGGGAGCCCCACAAGGAGATCTCCATTTCGACGCCCAGTTTTGCTACCATCTCCAAAGGGCAGGTCTTGCACCTGGCGAATCCAAGACGGCAACCGTAAGCCCTTGGGCAGGGTTCCATATGTGGTCGTTGCTCTTCGAAGGAAAGGCGATGGAACATCTTTGTTTAGATGCTTGGTGTTATCTCTCTCTGAGTGTCTGTCGTTCTGTGGAGCCCATGGTCGACATATTATGTCAATAGACTTGGAGCTCCTGACACAATGGCAAACGAACTGCTGATACACCTCCACTGGCGCGTCTACGTCTATTTTTGCGCATGATTGAAGCCATGCTTGCCCGTCATTCGCTACGGGAACAAGGGCAAATATGACAGCGCCAGGGTGTCCCGATTTCATGGCAGGTAAGAGAGATACTAGCGTTTCTAGACTGCATTTCGTGGTAGATCCGTCACCCCGTCTCCTGAAGAACTCACGAGATACCTCCACCACTGAATATGCAGCTAGCGCTCGGAGGTCGACAAGCTTGGTACTGCCTTGGCTTGCCCTAGCAATTAGAATCTCAGCACCCACAGCCAGGTCAATATGAATGAATAGAATGAATAGCGTGTCTGCAACGTACCTTGCTTGCTTCATGAGAGCCAAACCGTTAAACTTGTTGGCTGCTGTAGCTCGTTTTAGAAGCGACTGGACGTCGTCAAACCTGGAGCCCAGCATCACCACCGCATCACAAAATTCAGCCCACTCTATGTGTTGATCCCCACAATAGAGGGTCGCCCGCGTCGCAAGAATAATCTCAAGAAATGCCCATCGACGGCTAAAGTACGGTTGCCTCAAAAGATCAACTAGGGCCTGCCACTGTCTGGGAGTCTCACCCATGTCGTACTTCACTAGCGTGTCAATTTGACATAGGTCAAGAAGACGGGGTATAAAATCGATGGCCGTTTTACTGGTGTCATCGCCGGCTCCGAGCCAGATAACCACTTCCTCTGCTCCCTGGAAGATTTCCGGTATCATTTGAGCTTGCACGTTCTGTTCCTCTTCGTCTCTCGGGTCGATGCAGAGAAGTTCGACCCACAGAAACACCGGTTTGGCGGGATCCCTGATTTGACGTAGGGCTTGACATAAGCTCAGGGGAGCAGTAAGGAGACGTAGTTCATTAGAAATGCTGTAAAAGAATAGCTTGCTCGGTTCATAACGATCGTCCCAGCGCCCAGAAAGAGCTTTGTATCCCGGCTTAGATGATCCGGATGTCGCATCGGTAAGCCTCTGCACCTGGAATGAGCAATATATTGGGTAGTCCCGGTCCTGACTTGGAAGAAGTTCCAAAACTCTAACTTCGCCAGACCTGAGTTGTGTATCTGCGTATAGCTTCCCTGGGGTTGGAAGCTCTTCGTTCACTGCTCTCCGTAGCACAAACGATCTAGTCCGTGTATACACTGGCCCCTTCAACTTGACGGGTTTCAAAATCGGGCCCGGAATTTCTTCGCTGTTTATGCTCCACAGGCGACTCATTCGTAGTGGAACTCTCTGCGCCAGCCGAGCAAGATTTCGAGAGATGATAGACGTCGATGGAGCATTGGTTCTTATTAGGGGGTTCAATGCTGGGTTTGCAGAGGGTTTTAGGGTAGCCTGAGATGCGTTGGGATCCGGCCTTGCCTGTCCAGGCCCTTCATGACGCTCTGGAAGATCCGACCTTGGACTTCACTATTAGCAAACATTGGACATGATCTCTATGGACACAAAACAGAAATGTGCCAAAAGACAAAACATACATCTCTGCACTTGGCGGTATTAACGCATTGCTCGAGTCAAATTCCATGGCGTTGGGCGAGTCCCCGCTGTCTGGAAGAACGCCTATAACGATACGGTCAGGTAAATTTGAAAAGGATATGTGAAAAGGTGTCACACGCCGCCCGCCATTGCGCTCCGAAATTCGTTTGGTTTGGTTGAGACTTGCGGAGACTCGCGAGCAGAGTCGGCCGGCGAACACGGGCAGTCCCTCAGTTCGACTCTCTCTCAGTGCGGCTGTGAGAAACGTTGTGAAACTGTCTTTTCCTTGAAGGGGAGCCATGCTTTCAAATCCAGCGGCAACAATTGCCTCCACGGTGCTCTTCGCATCAGTAGACAGAACTGACGAAGCGGCGAAGCAACAGTCAAGGAGGAAAAGCACATGAGAGTCGCAGTCATTGAGAAACAAGGACTGAAGTGCGCTCCAATTGACACTCGGAATTGTCGCAATGGACTCTGTCAAAGGGCCTGGATCGTCACTAATACCTTGAGATTAAGATTATTGACCTTGCTAGGGTTGGAAGCACTAACCGCAGCCAAATACAGTCTTTGTCCTTGTTGTTGAGTCCATGGCCCCCATAGTAGATGATTAAGAGTGTCCCTGGCTTGTCATGCTTCAGGAGCAATAGTAGCCTCTCTGAGAGCCTTTGTTGGGGTCGTTTGGACTCGATTTCATACTCGGTCACACGGAAATTGTGGGCTAAAAGCTCTGAAGCGAGCCCCTGCAGTTGAGTTTTAAACTGATTCTTCTGCGCCTGCACAGAGTCCTTCCAGGAGATCAGCAGCGCGTCGACCGCTGAGTATGGGAACCGGCTTTGGTCAAGGGAAGCAGCCAATGCCTGAGACATTTTCTACACTCCGAAACCGGCTGACGTTTGTTTCCAAAGAATCAACAGACGTTATAGGCCATCTCGCTGCCAGTTGCGTCCCTAGGCGTTGTGCTGGCTCTCCACTTCCAGATGTTGTCACCAAAGGATGGATCCTGGGCTGAAAGGCTGCCGCGAGATCAGAATCGCTTAGCTCCTGAGGGTCATGAGATAAATGAAGTCTCGTAAGGCTGCAATGTAAGGAAGGGAGTACGCAGACCAGCCTAGCTACCTGTTCCCTATACCTCACCCCAAAGTTCGCCGCTTCTTGAAGATTATATTGGCTCCTTCTGAAATAGCCGTACTCTACCAAGAGGTTAGGGTAAGCGTTTTCGACTACTCAAGCCACATCCCATTGCTGCTACCACATATGTCGATTCGAGTTCAATGAAGGGTTGCGCGTGGGGTAATTGTGACAGACTAACTAATGAAAGGAAAAAAGAGCATGTAGTCTCGCGGCATGTAGGTATGTTGGGTTACCTATAGAATAGGTCGAAGCACTCTGCGCTTCTCCACGTTTTCGTGCCGAAAACCTAGGGCCTCTCCGAAGGCTAAGGAAAAGGGGGTAAATAGGAATCGACGCTTGATTAAACGGCGAGAAACTGACCTCGATTGATCTGTATATGAATAGGATTGAAATAGGTAGAAAATAGACGCGTTAGTAGGTAAATAGTGATATATGGATCCCGTCGCGTATGGTGCTATTTTATTGGATGCATTTCTTTAAGGGGGTCGTATGAACTTTTGACTGATTAAAATAGAACATCCTGAGCGTTTAACCAAGTAGAATCGATTTACTGGAATTGCAGGAGGGTATTTACAGGGGGTTTTTTTTTTATAGCGTAACAGGGGTTGACGTATTATAACTATCCTCCGAATAGGATAAATACATTCTGTACAATAGATCTGAGACGGGCGTCCCCTATGCCACACGCAACCTCCTGTCGGCGTGGGGCTTGAGATGTATTATATAGACCACGGATGCTGTAGACTGTAATAATGTGATGAAAAAGCCTGCTATGTACGCAACAGCGTGGGAAATATACCTGCCCTTTCTCCCCCATTTCTTATTCGTTACATAGGTAGTCTTGTATCTCGATTAGTATGCAGCACAGCACATCATGACCCAATACGATAGGATTATAGGGTGGGATTCGCTGCTGCGGGCTCGCCAGCCTGCACTCGTGGGCCGCCTGCTCAGTTGGAGCATGGGTGCCTCCACGGCGCATTAGTCTACCTGCCCTAACGTCCCCTCCCTTAGATCCCAGAGACAACCCAGAACTCTTCCCAGAAGGTGTCTCGCAGCAGCAGCTTACATGCGTAGTCATGCCAGCAGTCCAGGGCCATGAACCCCGTGGCTAAGAAGAGGATGCCCAAATCCGTCCCCAAGGTGCCATGTAGGAAATCAGCCCTTATAAGCCTATATCTGCAAGTCGTAGAATGTGGGCGTCTACGTTTCACGCAACAGGTGGACCCCGGCACAGGGTCGCCGTGAATCAACAACGAGTGCAATAACAAACCGTCGGGTTAGCGTCTTGCTCGTCGCCGCGGTTTCGCGCCTTCGGCTTAGACGGCCTACGAAGAACGCAGTACTTCCGCCCGTAGGTCTGCCGCGTTAACACCCGCGGCTATCGTATCTGCTATCGTCTCCCCACCCTACGATATCAGCGTCTTGCCCCAGCTATACGACGCCCCGTAATCTTAATACGGGTCCCGGGCGAGTCCTATCACGTCTATCGGTAGACAAACACGCAGAATCTCTAAAACAGTGGAAAGGCTTGATGATCGGCTATCAAGGGCTTTATGAAGCTTATCTATATAAGATCCGTATTCGTGTTCGCGTTTAACTAACCTCGTTGGCAACAGGTGAGGTATGTCCTATCGGAGCATCTCCTCTGGTTCCTACCTAGGTTGCGTCTAGATACCCCGGCCGTTTGACTTAACACTGACGATGTTACCCCTGCTGGCGTGTTACAAGAACCTCTTCAAGGGCGTAAGAGTCCTGGTCGTGGATTTGCAGGGGCCTTGGTGGTGGTTGAGGTCTGTCGTAGGGATCTACAATGGCCCTAGGCGATATGCTGTCGCACGAAGCGCTTCGTATGCGATGTAACCGGATAACTGCATCAAAACTAACCCGCAGTATTGAGGCTTTTATATAGGTATGACAAAGCGAATTGGATATAGTACTTGGATCATAAACAAAATGCCCATGTGCTGTATCACTGCGGCTGGACCACGAGATGAGACGACAGAGGAGATAGCAGCATATCTTGACTGGAGCAAGGCAGAAGACAAGCGGATTGAGGCTCAAGTGGCTAGAAAATTGGGTGATGGTCCAGAAGTCAATTGTAGGAGAGACATGAAAGAGATATGCAAAAGAGTGTTATGTATGTGTTCTGCCATGGGCAATATCAAATCGTGAAATAGTACTAGCAAGCTACCTAATCCAGCAATCCCCCAATGTTTTGCAGACACACTCCAGCCCGGAAGGGGCACTTCTAGCAGAATTTAGGCAGGGTGCCCACGGATCAGTCGCCGGCGCAGGTTGTGACAAGAATCCTTCATGACTCAGAGCTTTACCGAGAAAATATCATTAGAATATGAAGCCTTTCCCTAAAGGAACGGGAATTGTCTTACCGATTGATTAAGTAATATAGACCTCAGATTTTTGAGGACCCTAATTTGATCAGGACTATCGACATTGTTGGTCCTGAAATCTCCGTCACTTCGAGCGCGACCGGCAAACAGCTGCAATGCGCTAATAGCCGTTCCTACACGCCCGTATCCGAAGCCACCGGATATTAGAGTGACTTTTTGACTCCGGTATGTATCTTGCAGCTGGTTTAGCTGCTCCAGGGTTGGGGCGTAGAACTCTGATACAGGGATATGATCGTATGTTATCCCCTGACTTTTAAGTCGATTGGTCGCTCCTACGGGTAGTGAGTAGTTGTTGAAACTGATGATGCTAGTAATACTTTGCTTTACCAGATACTGAACAGCTTCCTCGTCTATGTTCTCATCGTGATTATCGCTTAAGTAGTGAGAGGCCGAAGAACGTGCGGATACTAAAGAGACCCGTTGGGTCAGTACCAAGGACCCAGAGATTAAGGACTTCAAGGTGTATATAAACTAGCGTCTTAAGGCGTCCAATAAAGCCTATAAGTATGAGGCGGAGACGTTTATACAGAAGGAAGGTGTGCCGTCTGCCGAAGCGATTGATGGTCTGAACGCCATGTTCGCCGTTAAGACGTTGATTGAATACTTCCATGGCAGGAAGGATAGCAGTCAGGGAGATAAAGAAACGAACGCTGATCTCGCTATGGCGCTCGAGGTGTAGAGCTACCTTAATCTTATATAGCTTGGGCAATAGAGCTTGGGCGATGCTTTCAAGATTGTCGAGCTTACTCAGACTATCATAAGGAGCGGGGGAGTGGCCGGGTCTTCGCTGTCGACTATTGTCAGATCTTTCGGTCGTGTCTCGGAGGGTATCGGCTTCGCCTTTGGCGCTGTTAATGTCGGACTCGACGCGTACGAGCTTCATAATGTAGAAAGCGAGATAGAGAAGGCGGTTTACGGCACGTAACTCGCCTTCGACTCGGTCAGCTTCCTCGCGGCTGGCGGTGGTGTAGGCGCTGGGTTGTTAGGCGCGTCTAGCGCCGCGGCCGTTTTAGGTGGCGTCGGCGTTATTTTAGGGGGACTTGCCTTCGGCTTCGGTGCGCTAGTATCGGCGTTTGGGTAAGTTGCTGAAGACGCGAAGGCCGTGGGACGATACTTTGGTGATATAGAGCTTGCCTATAAACCCGGAGGATATAAATACGACGAGCATTAGAAGATCCTCGTCCCCTTTGTGGGTGCTGTTATTAGTGAGATCGAGGCGAACGGCGACGTCGATTTCGATAGTTAGTACATCTATAGTACTCACTATGGGTAGACGGGGTCAGGCTATATTAACTATTTCTTCTGGGTCGGCGATTTCCCAAAGATGATCCAGGATAAGTCTAAGGCTATTAATATACGCAAAGGCATTAAGGCGCTAGCCGGCGGTATACTTGCGAATAATACAGAATATATAACGATTATCCTACTAGCGACCCCTAAATCCTATATTAGCTACGAGTACATGATTCTTCCGTTTACTACGTTGCGATACGACTATGGCTTCGATGTTATCCGGGAGCTTGAAGTCGATGGAAATTTTGACTACGACTTTTATATCTTCCCGAGCGAATATATCATCCGTCGTATCTTATATGAATACGTGGAGATACCCGTTACTGTAAATCTCATAAACCGCTCCGTGCGTGTCCAAGTCTCCTATCTGCCCGATAATATGCGTAATGTCTTGAAGTATTCGCTCTATGGCGCGGGCGCTGACTATATACTCGGTCTATGACAAGGGGATATGCTTAGAATAGGTTTAATTCTACTAATAATTCTATAGGGGGTCTCTTAGGTCCTTACCTCCCTTAAGTTTCTTAATCTTATTCTTATTTTAATATACTCCTGAGGTACCTTCGTACCTTGGTACTCTAGTACCCTAATACCGAAGCTATCCGTAGCTTATCTAGGACTTTCCTTAGTAAGTCGCCGAACCGGCGACCTTAATGCCCGATATTATCCTCCTAACCTTTTATAACCTAATTATTAGCATAGGGTTTCCTTCCCGTATAATACCATCTCTCCTTATCGAAGAAGCTCGTCTTTAAGCGTTAGTTAGGTACCTAAGCTCGTTAGTTAATAGGCTTATTAGGGTTTTATTAATGGAATAACTTAATAGTTCCTTTTATTCCTTCGGTAGTAAAGTATTCCTACGGCTCCTAGGTTTAGTAGCGCTTAGCCGGTTATCCTTATTACTTTATTAGATATCTAATAACCTCTCCGGTTCTAGCGGAATTTAATACCTTATTTACCTCGTAGTTTTCTACCTTAATCGGGGCTACTTTCCGTAGGACTTAATTAAGGTTAGGTAATTCTTAATTACTAACGCGGTAAGGTTCGATAAGGAATACGTAGAAGGTGCTATAAATACGTTAGCCTTTCGGAAGTATTAGAGTTACGGCGATAGGAGAAACGACCTTCTAGATCTTAAAGAAACCGAGTATCTTCTTATTTATCTTCTTCGTAAGACGCTTAGTTTTAATATTACGGGCGTTTAATATAATAAGTTATCCGACTTCTAAAGGGAGTTCTTCTTTTCGGTATTTATTTACCTATCCTTTTATCCGTTACCGTACTTTTTTTAAATACTACTTAGCTTCGTTATATACCCTAATTATTTAGTAAATATAAAGGTTACTTCCGGGATTCTTAGGGATACCTAGTAGGGGATTATATGCTACTAGGTATTACCCGTAGTTAGCGTAGAAGGGTAATATACCGGTAGCTATTAAAGTAATATTATTATAGGTAAATTCGGTAGTAAGGAATAAGCTTTCCTAGTCGCTTATTTCGTAGTTTACGAAGGCGCGTAGGTATACTTTTAGGATTTAATTAAGTCTTTCCGTTTACCTATCGGTTTAAGGATAAAAGGCGGTACTTATTCTAGGCTTAACTTTTAAGAGCTTTAAAATATCCTTTTATATATAAGAAGTAAACCGTAAGTCTCGGTCGGAAATAATATCTAAGGAAATTCTATATAACCGCTAGTAATTACGGATAAAGATAGGTATTAAGTCCTCGGCTTTTTTACCGTCCTTTTTTAGCGGAATAAAGTACGTTATTTTAGTAAAAGAATCTATAATAACCTATATAAAGTCGTAGCCGTTAAACATTAATAAGTCCGTAATAAAGTCTATCGCGATAGTTTATTAAGGTCGATAATATAGTTCCATAGGCTATAGTAATCCGAACGGAATATATCGGGATACCTTATTTTATTAGTATTCGCGATATTCCTTAACGAATTCCCTAACTATTACTTCTAGGTTAAGCTACTAAAAGTTTCGAATAATAAGTTCTATGGTTTTATTTATACCTATATATCCCGTTACTTTAGTATCGTATTCCGATTTAGTTACTTTTTATTATAAGTCCTTAGGTATTTAAAGACGGTTTCGCCGATAGAAAAAGCCCTCTTAAAGCTTTACCTCCTTATCGAGTAATTTAACTAGCTAGGCTTAGTATTCCGGGTCCTATACGGCTACCGTTTTAACCTATTTAACGAACTCTAGGGTCCAAGCGGATATTAGGATATTACTTAGTCGTACGTTAGCGAATATTACCGTAGGTAAGCCTGAATTTTTTAAAAAATGCTTTTCCTATAGGACCGTCGCTATTAGCTAGTCCTTAGCTTCTTCTTTTTTAAGGCGATATTATAATAATTTAAATAAAATATCGGCCTTTTTATTCTACTTCCTTAGGCGGTAGTATATTATAAAGTAATACGAGGAAAGTTATTAAGCTTAGCGAATTTAGCGTCGATTTAATACTTTTACCGTAGTAAAGTACGTTAGGTTTTAATAATTTAAGTATACTTTTATTTAATACTAAATACCTTCGAAATAGTATCGCTACTTTTCGAATGCGTCGACGATTACTAATAGTTCCTTATTATATATCTTATAATTTATTTCCGCTAGGGTAAGTCGTCTTAAGAAAAAGGCTATTAGTTTTAGTCTTTCTTTATTATCCTTTTATAAAAGGACCGCGGAAATAACGAAATTTAAGGCGTCGGCTTCGACGATCGGAACTTAGTTAGGGTCGAAATATATAAGTACCGGGGCCTTCGTAAAGGTTTCTTTTAATTCTTAAAAGGCCTTCTCCATTTCGACTTCTTATTTCTATAGTTTACGGTTTCCTTTATTAACGCTAGTAATTAGCCTAGCTATGCCTAAAAAGTTACGTATAAATTTACGGTAGAAGTTAGCGAACCCGATAAAGCTTTAGAAGTTCTTAAGTATAACTAGGGTACGCTAGTTAAGAATAACTTCTACTTTATCTTTAGATATAGTAATACCTTTAAGGCTTATGCTATATCCTAAGAACTTAACTTCTTACGTACGTTAGGCGCATTTTTTTAGGGCTACCGCTAAATGATTTTCTATAAGTCGTTTTAAGACTTCTTTAACCCGTTTGTTATATTCTTTTAGCGTATCGGTATAAACTAAAACGTTATCTAGATATACGATAACTCCTACGTCTAAAAGGTCGCGGAAGATATAATTTATTATGGCCTAGAAAGTAACGGGGGCGTTAATTAATCCTATAAATATAACTATATACTCGTATAACTTATAACGCGTTCTAAAGGCGGTTTTTTATTTATCGCCTTCCTTAATCCGTACTATATAAAAGCTAGACTTTAGATTAATCTTAGTAAATTATCGCGCCGTTTAAAATAAGTTCTATAGTTCGTTAATTAGCGGAATCGGGTATCGGACGGATATTATAATTTTATTTAACCTCCGGTAGTTAGCTACCGGTTTTAAAGCGCTAAGATCCTTCTTATTTATAAATATTATAAATATGCCGTAAGAGGCCTTAGATTTCCGGATTTTTCTCATGGTTATTATTTCGTCGAGCTAAGGTTTTAAGGCGTCTAGCTATCGTCCGCTTATAATATATAAGGATCCCTATAAAGAAGTAATCCCCGGGCGAAGCTCGATAGTATAATCCTACGGTTACCGATTAGGGAACCGTTATCCGGCTTCCTTAGTTATAATAGAAACGAAGTTACGAAATTATTCCGGTACTTATACTAAGGCTTCTACTTTTCGTATAGTTCCTATACGAACTAGCCGTAAGCGATAGCTCTAGTATTAAAGCGAATTAAAGTATAACCGTCCGTTTATAAATAATCCTTAGGGGAGATATTCTTTTATTTATTATTACGATAGGATAGTATCGATCTTTTCGTTTAATTTATTAATTTCCTAAGTAATACGATAGATATACTCGTAGCTACGGAGCTTTATTTCATTTATATATTAAAGTCCCCCTAACGAAATCTCCGAGCTATCGAATCTTATTAAGGTTCTAAGCTTAAAGCGTTAATTAATAAGAAGGCGTAATTACTCGACTTTAGCGGCGTTAATTAAGGGTACTTTACTACCGGTATTTAAGAGGATTCGTAAGGGGTATTTTTTTCCTTAATATTTTATTTATATCGTATGGATAGGCCGTTTTCCTAACTTTAGCTCGTTTAGGTTACGCTAAGGGACTCGTAGTTTCTTCGTTATTAGTACTACTTCCGTTACTTCTAGCGTTCCGGGCCGTTTTATAGCCGTAATCTTTACGTTATCTTTATCGTCCCTTTCTTCCGTTAACGCTTACGGGGAGGCATTTAAAAATCCCGTTCTTTATCGGAATCGGATAGCTCCATAATACGGGGAAGAATTTCCTTCTATCGTATAGTAATATCGATCCTAGCCCTTTTATTAGGTAATAATTCGGGCTCCTTCCTTCCTTTCTTTCCCGATAAGATCTTCTTAGGAAGCGCGGGTAAGTCCCGTTCTTTTAAGTCCTTTTTTATAAAGCAAGTTAAGGTTTAATAATTATCCCTTCTATACCTTTAGTAGGCTTTCTTATCCTTCTTTCGCTAATCGATAACGGCTTAGTTAATTCTAGCTAAAGCCTTTTTATTACCTACCTATCGTAAGTCCTTAGCCGGTACGGGTTTCTTACTATCCTTATTTTTACGTTCGTTTACCGGTTAACCTAAGCGGGAACGAGTTTCTTTTACGGATTACCTTTATTATTAATCCGCTTTCGTATGCTCCTTTTACGAAGCGAACCCTCCTTTTCTTAAAATCCCTAGGTTAGCTATTATATTTTTATAGATTTAACCGGCTTCCTTAATTACTTTAAAGAAGGCTTCGTCGCTTTCGGGGATACTACTTAATCGTAAATAAACTAGCTTCGTTATTTCATCGGGTAAAATATAGGCGATATAATTCTAAAAGGTAGTTCCGGACTATTAAACGACGTCGTTAAGATCTATAAACTCGGTAAGGTATTAGGAGATATTTCCTTAGTACTTAAGTTCCTATATCTTTTTAAAGTTACGATATCGTTCGGCGGAATTTTTAAACCGCTTTTAAAGTACTTAGGAATATCCTACCTAAGTATCGACGATTATTAACCGTTCTACCTAGGTT